AAGTGGTCGCCACTTTTTATGTTTTGATTAATAATATTGCTTTGTTTCCTCCTCCTTTCTAGAAAGTTCTCCATGATAATATTCATAAGACACAACTGTCTCCATATTCATCTTTACGGCTTACGAATCAAAAGAATAATGGATGATGACACAAAATGTCGATGGAAACCATTCCTCTTAAGCAAAAGCTAAAGATAGTGAATACAACTTTTCTTTTGATTGGCTGGAAAAAATATAACTTACTACATAAGAAATTTGAAGCAACTATAGCCTCTAGCCCTAATGGCTATAGGTCTCAATTATTTTCTCTTTTTGTGCCAAATGGTATAACAATTTGGGTTAATTAGGCTACTAACAAAGTTTTGAATTATAATTAGTATATTAGCTATGTAATAAATATAATTGAGAGAGTAACAAATGATTAGTGTTTTGACATTTTTATCCCCCAATTGTTTGTGTGGCTTGGAAGTGTTGTAGGATAACTTAAAACTTGTCTATACTACGTATTAGTGTATCATCAAGTGAATCTTACATCTATCAAAACAAAATAATGAGTGAAAATAGATTATTTTTGTTTACTATGTAAGAAACTCTAACTATGTAAAATATTATAGATATTACAATCAACATAGTGTGCACCAGATCTGTGTATATATTGTTTGTCTTACATCTGAGCTTCACGTTTCTATTCAACGGAAACTATGTAACTATGTTAAATTATACAGAAACAAATATAAGCTTTACGTTCCAGCCTCGTCCTCGCTCTCTTCCATGGGACCAACAACTACATTTCTTCATGAGACAAATGATATTCTTTGGTTTTTCCCAGAGACATCCACATCCTTTGCCTATGGACCCATCTTTGCCTTCCATTCCCTCACCCTCATCAAAGACTTGACCTCTATTTGCAAATAATATGTACATTATGGTCAAATAGTTTTGTGTCTACCAAAAACAGTTCATACATTCATGTTTTTTTTAAACCAATGCATACTAGACCAACACATACTATGGCCATGTTCTTTGATTTATCTCCGCGATTGTGATAGTGACGAACAAAAACGAAAATGGCTACAATAAGTGATAAAGCAAAATGACAATGAAGGAGCCGTAAGGTGTTGTTGAGAAAAGAAGCGACGACCAAGTTATATACGAAATATTTCGTCGGAGAAAGTAGCGTCCATGAAAGACCGGCGATCGTTTCCAGCATTGATCTTATCTCCATCGTCACTACTTGACTCTCTGCCATAGCTATTTTGTTTTGGTTCTGTTAGGTCGCTACCGCAGAAATTTATCAACAAACAAGGCATATATTATATCAGACCAATAAACATAGTATAGCATGTGTCTCCTATAGTTTACTCATGTATATAGTATAGAACAAAGTGACCTAGTTCTCCATAACCAAAACAAGATCCATCCCATTCTCAAAGCCTTGAACGACCTTGTGCACACTAACAACATATATTGGGATCTAGTTACATAAAGCACACATATAAACATAATGGCCAAGCCCATGGCATCCTCATCCTAGTTCCTAAGATCTCATGTACTACATGAAAAATTGTTAACTATATGCATTCCAATATTTTTTTGTCCTCCTGTTTGTATCAACTAGCCTTGCAAATGACCTCTTTTATTCCCTTTCACCACAACCCACCAATAGCGGACACGCAACTGCAATATAACAGAACAAGTGAAAGCTCAATTTCACTAACCATTTACAGAGTCTAACCCAAAATTTTCGTTCACAAATCCAAAATTTGTGTGAGATGTGGATCGGAAAACTTAACTTCCTTTTTCACCGCTTGCGACTCTATTATCACTTCCAAATACACACCGCCACCGCCAATACGCCTTCGCTTACAAACCTCCTCCATGGAATTCGATATAGTCGTTGCTTTAATCCCTAACCCTTCACTGGTTTCGTTTAGCTTTCCCTCAATCAAATTTTGGCTTCTACAAATTTCTCTTCTCTTTGAAATCTCGAATCAAAATTTGGGTTAGAGATAATCTGGCACAATCGAACTTCTATTTTCCACTTCTTCCGCCTTTATCAACGGCTTTGTTGACCTCCACCGCCTAAACGCCTTCCTCTGTAGAACACAAATCCCCAGTCAGACACTCAATCACCTTTAACCTCCTACAAATCTTATGTCGCACAACCATCTCCTCTGTGTGAATTTTGAACACACACTCCAATCTCAAGTTTAGTTTTTGCGTCTTTGTCTTCTAACAGTAAGGGCATAATGGTCCACCACTACACATTACACTTGCACAGTTGAAGAGAACAATATTTTTGGTTATTTTATACATTAATATTTTTTTTTTTTGCGTTACCTCTGCCAATTACCCTAACAATTTCTCCATCTCTAAAAAAAGGACCAAAATTTAGTTATCAATTCTACATTTTGTTCTAACGTGTAGACTTACCAAACTAATGGGCCACAACAAATAGCCCAAGGCCCATCACATTGAGTAAACAACGTGTATACCTAACGCAATACCTATAAATATGGTCCTTCGTCTACAAACCCTAATCGCGAGCTGCGTTTTCTTGATTATCTCGATTCGGTTTTAGTGTTTTGAAAGTTTTTTTTGGTTCTTTGTTGGCAAAATTGAAGCTTGATGGGTGCAGTGATGATGGGTTTATAAATCTCGTTAATCTGAAATTCTTTTATTGAGGAGAAATACTTCCCAACCATTCATAATAAACCTGAGCACCTTCTCTTTGCTTTTTTCGTTTTCTTGAATCTTTGTTTTGAACACCAAACAGTTTTGTTTTTTTATTATAAAGTTTTGATTTTTCTTTGATATTTTGGATCATCGCTCATAGTTCTTCTTCGAAGCTTTTAGAATTCATTCTAAGTGTGGTTTCGAGGATTTTATTTGTGCGTAAATCAAAGGAAGATCCTATCTGCTTGAGTAATCTCTGTTATGTGTTAACCATAGAGTTATGCTCCAATGTTATAGGATCACATTGAATTAGTGCAAAACTTATTTTTTGATCACTGTGTACCTATATAGAGATCTAAACACATGTTCTTAGAAGAATTTTGAACTTTCGAGCCATAGAACCAAGATTGAACTATCATTATAAATAAGAATATATAATCAAGAAGATAGTGCATGAGCAAGAAGATAGTGCATGAGCCGACATTGGACTTGTTACAATCCGAAAACAGTATTCGGCATAATCAAATTATATATTCGACCTGGAACTGGTTACAAACTGAAAGTTGTAACTATAGAGATACAAGTAGCAAAACAGGGGATTGAGTTTATGTTCAAAGGTCGAAACTTTTAAGGTTAAACACCCTCTCTTCAGCTTTTGACAGATTATCCATACAGATCATATATCATCACCACAATATTCCTCTGAGAAATAACTTTTAAGTGAAATATATATTACAAAAGCCAGTCAAAATGTTGGCATTTCTCAAGGGACTAAAAACACAAGAGAGCCACACAACCAAACAATTACAAATCTTTTTTTTTAAGTCTCAATCTGTAACATCTTCTAATGAAGGTTTGGTAAATGGTAAAGAAATACACTTGATGGTGAATTCTTCTAAGGAAAAATGGGAGTAAATGTACAGTCCCAATGGATAATTTTGGTTTTTGGACTCACAAGACTGTGTTGATGTGAAGTGCTTTGAGGAGCGATGTTGCCATTTGCTTCACCAGAACTTGACCTCCTGATCGTTGTCCATCACGTCGCTCTTCTATCAGATTCTGCAGCTTCTGAGGGAGATCGTTCTCTACGATCAGCTGTTTTGGCTTTGGATGGTGCTCGTAAACAGCCTGGTTTCAGGGTGTGATAAAACAACACACTCAACATCCTGATTGAAAAATATACAAGCAAGACCTTGGATGATACTTTGGGGATCCATTACCTTGATGAGTTTCAGGAGATTAAGTCGAGCAATCGCATCTTGGTGGTCTAGCCTTGAAATAAGCAACGGAGTCAATCCATTTACAGCTAATGTCTTGTTGATTCGAATTGATTTCCTGGATTTAAGAAGAGAAAGATTAGACTAAAGAAGTGCCAACTTCACTCTAGCTTCCTTTGTCTCCCACCAGAACATTTTGGAAAGATAGATACTTATTATAAAGAGGAGAGATACATACGTAATAATCTTCAAGAATGGCTCCAATATGTGCACAAAGTGTCTTTCTGGGCAGCTCTGGAAGAAGTTAACTAATTTCTGGATTGCATCATTCTTGAGCAATGCCTGCTCCACCTTGCGGTTGTCATTGTCTTGCGCCAAGCATACAGCAATTGAATCTAAGGCTATCACAGACCAATATTCATCATCGAGCAAACTCAGGTAAACATCCAGACCGCCGTGGGCCCTTAACTGCTCTCTTGAATTCCGAGATGCGTGAGCCATATCACATAGTAGTGGCAATGCATACTGTTTCAGAGGAGAATCCGACATGATGAAGAGCATCAGGTGCGGAATGATTCCGTTTTCAGCAGCTTGTTCCTGCCTCCTCTTGTTTATCTTGCACAGGTTGAATAGTGCACTAAGCACCTACATAAAAATTAATGTTTGAGAATCCAAACTTCAAATCTTTCAGATAGCATAGTGGAAAACATGTTGTAACCAACAGATGAAAGCTAGCTCCATGAAAGTCAAGAAGGTAACCTCATGATGGATCTGATAAACAAGATTCCCATCCTTAAGCTCAAGGTTGGGGATCAAATGCTTAATTGCATCTGCACGCTGAAGATTCTCCAAGCAGTTTGGATCAGTGGATAAATGATTGGTGCACTCCAGTATCTGGACACACGAAAGGCATTGTAAGCATGCGACCTGAAGATCCTCTTAACCACACATCCAGGTTTGGCCAGAGACAACAGAGAAAATATAGGAAAGCACAAAGTACCTTTAACAGAATTGGAGGTTCTACACGGTTGAACATCTGGAAAAGACGACTGAGTAAGCTTTGGCTACACATGTATGATTTTACTGTCGTATCAGCTCGAGCAAATTCAAGAAGCAGATCAGCCACTTTCTCCAAGTATTCCCTTGCAACATCTGCACTCAGCGTAGAGACCATATGGGCAAGTAAGCCAGATGATGTGGCACTTCCAGGTCTAGCATTTAGAACACCCGAACCTGACAGTACTCCAGATGCTGTCTGAGACGCAATCCCAGACGTAGAAGCGGCTCCTTCAATAGCCACAACTTTCTTTGTCATTGTTTTACTGGGATATCTGAGCGTAGTATCAAGATTTCCATTTTCCTTTCCACGTCCCGAGACCTCTGAAGAAACAAGTAATGATAAGCATCAACCAAAAAATATATGCCTATGCCTACATTAGGAACAGTCTTGCTAAATAAAAAACATTGAAACTTACCTGCAAATTCAGCCATCAGATAGTCTAGGTCTCCGTTGGTTTTCTTTTCATTTGATCCATGCAAAAGGGGAAGTCTACTTTCATGTCTCTCTATGCCAGTGATGTGCTTTACATAATCCAGTTGACCAGAAAAATGTCTTGAAGGAGGTTCTTTCTCCAACAAGCTAAGCAAAGGTCGAACTTGGTCTGGCTGAGTAACAGGAAAACCATTAGAGGCACCCTCCGCCAGCTTCTGAAGCTTATCTGTTGATGTCCTATTGGCGGAGAGAGATATCCGATGCTGTTGTCTGATATCTTCTGTGCCTGACGTAGAGGCATCTCCTGCGGCACTGCTTAATCTAGGCCTATCACCATCTGGATGCAAGACATCTGGTTGATGGATATCTGATCTTTGAGAATTTGAAGTTGAAGCATGAGAAGGCTCTTCACCACTCACATGCTTAGTTTTCAACACATCAGGCTGATCAATCACACTGAGTGAAGCATCATGCTGACTAAAAATAGGATTGTTTGGATCAAGTTGACCAGAACGCGCTCGTGGAGCTTGACCATCCACAATCAGTGGGACCCCTGATATAGAAGCCAGTCGAGTTGCCTCATTCAAGCTATAAAGGGTGTTGATTAACCTCAGAAGAATTCCATTTTTTGCAGCTATACGGCAGAAATCATTTCTTGGGGTGGATCTTTTGAGTTTGAATACTTGCCACATCCCATCAATAGCTAAGTGAACCATCTCCCTGGACAGAAAAGCTCAAATCAGTAGAATTTAGTAGGCACATAAAGAGCAAAAAGAACCAGAATTGATTAAAGAGAGAAGAGTTAAATCAAGAAAATCGTCAGCTATTGAGAAATGTATCTGCCGTGTTCAATAGAACAAACACACACCACATAAAAAAAGCCAGGATGACAAAAAGGTTCAAATAGAAAATAAGAAGCTCTGCTTGGGACTTGTAATAAACCTAAGCATCACAGCATGGGGAAATTTTCAAATCCTTATGATGAAATAACCGATAGATCTCACATAAATTTTGTACTTAATATGTGAACTAGTCCAGCCACCGTAAAAAGATGGTAAACAGTACCCACCTGTATTTGGCATAATCTGCTTCAAGAAATCCCACCAAAACAGGTATTCCACGGCAAGCTATGAACATTTGCAACGTTAAAGAGCTGTAAAGAAGCTACCAGATTAACTCAATGACTGACAGAAAGCAAAATGGAGAAGCAAAATAATAATTATTATGACTATTAACCTTGACTGACAAAGCTGCTGCAAGAAGTAAGCTGCTTCTTTACGAATTTCTCGAGAACGATCCCTCTCAGGACCAGCAAAACTCATTACCACAGGAATCTGCCATTTCACTTGGAATAATCAATTTTCATGGGATTTTTTGACACATCAAAGAAAATAAAGATATGACTATGTACAAACATCAAGAAAACTTAAGTGATGAGAAAATGACACAATGGATAAGCTATCTACGGTTTTCCCAACATGGTGTTAGCATTCGAAATGGATGTTTGCTATTTAAGATCCAAAATGGAGGCACGAGCCTTTGATAAAACAAATTAACTAAATCATCCCAACTATACCAAGAAACTACTGGTGCTTCACGAAGTCAGAAGCCAAATGGAAGGTAATACTTACGAGACCAACAAGACAAGCATTTTCCTGGAAGTCGGTGTTATCTTTAATAACTTCATTTATCAGCTGCAGCACGGCACAAATTACCTGAAAACACCAGAAATTATTCACAAACATAAGCAAGTCAGTATTCACATCGAACTGACAACTACTAATGATGGAAGGACAACAGAAACGTACTCGAGATTTAGGGATATCAAGTAGATCCATTAGCGGGAGGAAACCATGCTGTGTCACAAATACTGCTTTCTGCTCAGGTCTTTGACGAAACATGGCAACAAGTTTCTGACAGGATGATACTATTGCATCTTCTGATTCATCTGGCCTTAAGGAGCTGACCAATCTGCTAAACTCGACCGCCTACAAATATTAAACTGCTAAATAAACGGAAGCAACTAAAAACGGAGTTGAGAAGCAACAGTTCTCTTTTCAACATTCACAGAGAATGAGGTGAGTCGGTCAAGTAGCATTAACATAATAATATAAAATGGCGAAAGATTGCTAAAATGTCCGGATATGAATTTGTCGAATACCTGCAGAGGAAAAAGATTCTCTGCGGGGACTTTTTCATCAAATACCTGAGCAACAACATGAAAATATGTTAATATTATACTACTTGAATTATCGAACCTGCATACTTGATACAGAACATACCAAGCCATCAATGTCAATAACATCATCTTTCAAGACACCCATCATTAAGCGTAAAAGATCACCACCATCATTTGAGTGCCCTGTTTCACCTTCCATTTGCTTCTGAGCAATTGTAGCCCTCAATTTTGTTGCCAGATCATTCTTTCCACCATCTGCGACAGGAGAATCACCCTGGTTGACATTTGATGTAGGCGCTGACGTTGAGGCTTCATTTGGTTTTCCCTCGGGAACTTTATCCAATGGATGAAACAGATCATGCAAAGAAGCATCCCCAGGAGGATCACTAAATCTACTCAGTTCATTCCCACCAACACTAGGAGTCTTCGCAGCCTTTAAGATTAAAAAAAAAACAGGTAAAACAAATCTATTCAGTTTGCAAGTCTCCAAATGTAAGGGCTGTGTCAATTGCTTTTAACAAAGTTCATCTCTGGCTTTTATGCGTTCTCCTGCTCAACTTAACACACAGATCACAGTATACTCCCTCGTGATTGACCATATTATCTAAGGAAATGCTAGGACGATAATGATGTAACTACACAACTGACCTTTCGGCGCCCACGATCTTCACCTTTTATGCTAAAACTATGTGATGTCTGGTCCACCTGGATGGAACATTCTTTTCCAACCTGCTGTGTTGCTAAAGTACTTTTTCTAGTTTCAGAAGTTTCCGTATCAAGATTCCCAGGGATTTCATCATGTTCAGATTCCCCATTAAACTCTGATACATCTTCAGATGTCCCCTTTGCATCCAAAGAAATACTGCAAGTACCAGGTTCAAGAGAGGATTTCTCATGGATAGAAAATGTAGGAACTTGATCTGGCATAAGATCATCTTCTGAATTATCATTTCCTTCTTCACCAAGATCACTGGATGAAGGCTGGTCTTTCTCAGACCTAA